TCAGTCGTGGGCGGGGTGCTTCTTCTTGTTAGCGGGCGCCCCGCGGTGAGCGCACCCGTGCGACCGCGTGTCCGCGGCGTCGCGCCCCAGGGTCCAGACCGCCAAGGCGCAGACACGGGGGTCAGAGGAAGAGGGGGGAAGGCGATACCATGCAAATTCTGATAGCAAGCACGTTTCTCCGACCTTGACGCGAGCGATGCTTTACACCAGCACAGGACAGCACTCCATGGAGCAATCTGGATCAGCGCTCCTACGCCACACGCACAGCACTGAACACAAGTTCCACATCTACAGCCGAGGGCCCCGGCTCGCCCGCGCCGGCCTGCCAGGCCCCGCTCAGGCGCGCCTCGCCGCGCGCAAGACCGGAGTGACCTGAGGTGCGGGCCCGCAGGGGTCCCGCCAGCACGGGCTGGCTGGCGCTTGGACTGTGTTCACTCGGCCTCCCGCGCTGCCCCCTGAAGCCGCGCGCCAAGCGTCACTCTTTCCTAGGGTCACGCCTACACGCAGCCGGGACATGTGTTGCCGCTCGCGACGTCATGGGCGCCACCCCGAAATACCAACGCTATGTGTGCGTGGCCCCCCCCCCCCCCCCCAAGGGGCGACGCGAGCGCCGAGAAATTATGTGATCTCCCTTGCGAGAAGCTTGGGCCATACCGTTCGGGAACCTACATATTTGTATATTTATATATATATATACATATATAATACCATGTTGGTACACATCTGTTCTGCCGGACTTGTGCCTCCAACAGCAGCACACAGTACTAGCACATCCTTCTGCGTCCGGTCAGGTCGTGGGTCCTTTGGCAGGGTCTACCGGGCGCGGTGGGACGCGTCCACGGTCGCGCTAAAGGTCGTGGAGCACTACCAGCAGGAGGCCCCCACGTTGATGGCCTTCGAGGGGGCGCTGTCGGCGAGCCTCGCGCACCCCAACCTCGTGCAGACGTTCAAGTACAGCATCCGCGACGCGACGTCCCGCGGGAGCACAGAGGGCGGTGCGCTCAGGGCCTCCGAGGTCTGGATCGTGCAGGAGCGGCGGCGCCCCCACGGAGGCCCCAGCTCGACGATGCGGCTGGTGCGCGGCTGCACGTAAGTTAAGTCGGGCCTGTCCCTCTACAGGAGGAGGATTCAAGAATAGTTGGACAAATCGTCTGGGGACGATGTTTCGATTTTTTGTTGACTAGTTTCGAATCTCGTTTGTCTCTTTTTCACCTTTCGTCCGCCCGCCCTGAGTCTAAACGTTGTCGGACGTTTGCGTCGGTTCCTGAACGGCTTCCTTGGGGTGTGTTCCAGCAGCTGCGCCGCGCTGAGAGCGTTCCGGGGGTGCCCGAAGCGTCCCGATGGGCCGCTGGAGGGCCGAGTTGTGACCCAGAGGCCGAAGAACAGATACCGATATCGCGGGGGCTTGGGTTCAGGAATGTGCCCAGGAGGCTTCGGACCCCAAGGGCTTCGTTTTCTGATGAGGGCGGCGGCGATGTCCATGGCAAAGCCTCAATTGGTGTTCCACCAGCTTCCAGACCCTGCATTCGTTATTCAATGGGTCCTTATCCACTGCTTTCACCGTGCCGATACTGCTGCTCGTCCTGGAGAATCAGAGAACGAAAATCAGCATGAACATACATGTTCGGAGGTCCGCGCGGACTTCTTAGATCTGCACTGGGCTTCCTGGTGGCGCCTCCGGCGCCACCCCTGGCGCGCTCCGCGCACCACGGTGGGGATCCAGTGCAGATCCAAGAAAGCATGGGGGAGGGGGAGGGGAAGGAGGAGGGGGAGGGGGAGGAGGAGGAGGAGGAGAGGAGGAGGAGGAGGAGGAGGAGGAGGAGGAGGAGGAGGAGGATGAGGAGGAGGAGGAGGAGGAGAGGAGGGGAGGAGGAGAGGAGGAGGAGGAGGAGGAGGAGGAGGAGTTGGGAAGTCAGAGGAGCAGCGGTATCGGTCCCGGTTCGGTTTGCCCCAGGAGTGGTGCGGGCTCGGGACCCTGAGCCAGAAGATCTCCAAGAAGGAGATCGTGGAGAGAGGCGGCTTCAGCGAGGTCCAGGGAGTGCGCGCTCCCCCTGAGAGGGCCCCGCCCTCCTGGTGCACCCCTCGCCGTCGGCGGAGGCCGGTGGAGGCCTCCTCCTCCTCTTCCTCCTCCTCCTCCTCCTCCTCCGCTGGCGGAAAGCGGCGGAAGCAGAGGTGAGACGTCAGGCGTCAGCATCTTTGGGTTCAGGATTCGGGAGGCACCCAGACTTCGCAGGAGATCGACGACATAATGGAGTTACCCCCGATTGGACTTTTTCGTCGAATCCACAAATCATGCGCAGAAGGCTAGTATATATGCGAGCATTCTAGTTATGTGTGTTTCGCGGACCCGGCGAAGAAATCAATTGGGGGATACATCAATGTTGTAGCCCATCTACTTCTCGAGACGAAGGGGTGGTCAGGGCCCCTGAAGCGGGAACGTTGGATAAACCATGGGTCGAAGCTTTCAAAGTACAAAAAACTACATGAACATAAACTGTTGGCGCTCCGCGCGGATTTCTTGGATCCGCGCTGGGCCCACCCCGCCGCGGCGCCTCCAGTGCCGCCCATGGCGCGCTCCGCGCGCCAGTGAGGGGGGGTCCAGCGCGGGTCCAAGAAATCCGCGCTGAGCGCCAACAGTTTATGTTTACGCAGGTTTTGTTATTCTAAGCATTCTCCGTGCCCGGGACGGGAAATTGCAGCCGGGGATCGGAGCGTTCTCGAGTCTCCGTTCTTTCCAGGTGGAGTCTTGAGTGGCACCCTTGGCGGCAAAAGATCCTGCCGTCCACCTCCTGGCCCTTCGAGTAGTGCTACTGCGCCTGGCGAAACATATTGATGCTATGACTTGCCACTGCTGCTGCTGCTGCAGCTGCTGATACCACTCGTAGTTCGTAGGGAGTCTCCTGCTACCAGGAAGAACTTTATATGCAACTTGCGAATGCACATGATACTGCTACAAGTACGAACGAACTACGTAGCACCCCGCAGATGCGGATAAGAGTGAGGGGGTGGTGGGGACGTCGGCAGTTTGCGAGACTCTGGAGAAGCCCGCCGCAGGCGCCAAAGTCTCACAAATAATATAACGAGCCCGCCGCAGGCGCCGATTTTTTCGTTAAACCAATGTGGGCAGGTCTCGGGTTGGTCGCGGGTGGGTCGCGGAGTGGGTCGCGGGTGGGTCGCGAGTGGGTTGCGGGAGGGTCGCCGAGGCATCGGCGACTGCGTCTCGATGTGGAGCCCGGTGTGTTTCGCGTTGAAGTCGCCGATGCGTCGCCGACGTCGACGATGCATCGCTGGTGCATCGCCGATGCATCGTCGATACACCGCCGATGCGTCGTCGATGTATCGCCGATGCGGCGCGATCCTCCGACCCCATCTACTCCGACCCCATCTAGGAGGCCTCTTGGAATACTCGTCAAAAAATAGTCCGAGGATGATTTTGTCTAGCATTGTTCGATTCTTTTCTACGCTTCGCCCAAGAATCCACCTGTGGCACCTGTAGGGGGACCTGCCCGACCGAACCGTACCCCGACGGGGGGTCCTCACGGGCACAGGCTCGTTTTTGCCACCCTTCGTCGCCGCGCCCCCCCCTCGAGATGCGAGGGGCTCGTCCCGACCCCAGTCGGCCCCGACCCTTTCCAGAGGGCTCGCCTCGCGAGGCTGCCTTGCCCACTCGCGGCACGCCTCCTCGACACCTCGTGCGGGCCCTCTTCAGAGAAGGCGTCGCCGCGGGGCCTCGGCGCCGGCCGGCGTCGGGAGGGGGCCCCCGGAGAGGTCGTGGAGGTGTGCGCCGAGATTAGCTCCGCGGCATCGTACCTGCACAGCCGGGGCATCATCCACGGGGACCTGACGGCCTGCAACGTGCTGCTGGTCGAGCGGCGGTGCCCCAAGCAGTACGTGGCGAAGATCACCGACTTCGGCCTGGCCCGCGTCCTGGACAACGGCGCCAGCAAGATCAACACCGCCACCATGGGCACGGTGACCTACATGCCCCCGGAGCTGTTCCAGCTCGAGGGGAGCGCGCTGACCAAGAAAGTCGACGTGTACGCGTTCGGGGTCATCACGTGGCAGCTGTGCACCAGCGGTACGCCCTTCGAGGGCCTGCAGCCGACGCAGGTCATTCGGGAGGGGAAAAAACACACCGACACAATTAATCGTCGATTCCCCAGAAAATATGGGAAAATATGGGAAGTGGGGGGAATGCAAAAAGCCAGAAAATATTGGAAAATATGGGGGATCCTTTTATTTATGTGTGTATTTATTTGTGTGTCCCAGGGCCCCTTCAGTCATGGAGGAAGGGGAGAAGGAAGGATGAATGGGGGGGTGATGGAGACGTGGTGGGGGAGCAGGGAGGACGGACGGGTGATGCTGGAGGGATGATGCAGGAGGCGGGTGCAGGAGTGGGAGGGAGGACGGACTGGAGGAGCGGGGAGGGCCGCGGGAGGAGGGACCGGGGGAGGGGGCGGGAGGGAGGAAAAGAGGAAGAGAGGGAGGGACCAGGGAGCATGATGGGGGTGGATTGATGGCTTTGGTCGTGATCATGACGATGGGGTTGAAAATGATGGAGGAGGATGAGGAGGAGGAGGAGGAGGAGGAGGAGGAGAAGGAGGAGGGCAAGCGGAATTCTGTACTTTACTCTACGCTTGACCTTCGCTGCAACCGTCCGCGGCAGAATTTGTTCGCTCACTCCGCCTACGTCGGCGCTGTTTTTTTCTTTATAGACCGCAACGCGCGCAGTCTTCATGGTTTGACCAACGTCAACAGAGGAGGGCCAGCGGGATGGACGCAACGCAACATGCAAGCTCACATGGCTGGGACTGCCAGGCGCCCTCGCCTAATTAGGCTAGCAACACGCACACCCTCTCAGGAGGACGAGGACACATGGAACGAGTGCTCGGGGGACCTTGTCTGGCGGGGATCGGACTCAGACGATGAAAATGTACCGATATCGCTACTTTTCCCTCATTTCCTTTTTGGGGGGCCTCCCGGGAGGCCCTCGTCCGTCCCATCCGCTAGATTCGGCTCTAAATTATGGTCAGAACGTTTCCCGCGAGAGGTCCGGGGAGTAGCAGTATCGGTGCGTTTTGGCGTCCCCAAGGACGAGGATAAATCCGCCCCAGAGCGTTCCGCAATGCTCTCAGAGCGTTCCCGAACGCTCTAAGGCCGCGGCGCCCGAGACATTTTCCAGAGCCGCCAGGTCCCAGTGATTCTCGATTTATCCTCAACCAAATTGATCCTCGTCCTGGCTTCGTCTCACCTAGAGAGAACTGACCAGACCGAACATGCGAGGCATTGTGGTATACGCGGCCCGCTGCCAACGCTTCTTCATCAATCGCCTACCCAGCCCGCCCACAATACTACTCATCATCAAGTTCGATGGCTCCAGTCACAACGGGAACACAGGACGCGATCACGTCGTATTGCGTAGTACACAAATTAGTTGTTCATATTTTCAGCGCGCAGTGTGCTTGCACAACCGCAGCTTTCTGGTTCGCCAGCGACTAGCTACAAGCCTGAAGTACAGTGACCTGATAGGAAACCTCACGGCGGGCATCGCGGTCACGATGACATTCTTTTCCGGGGAGGTCGACTGCAGTTCCCTGAATGGTACGAGGCACATGGAGGTTTGGATATACAATGGCACGTCTCAGGGACACAACAAAGTGGCTACAGCTTGTGACCAAATTTGCCGCCGACAAACACGACCACCACACCAAAACGGTATTGGTATATGCCACGGTGGTATATCTCGATCAAGTCGTACGGCATTACGTGAAACGCCACCATAACAGCCTCATTGTTTTCAACAAGGCTGGCGGACACCACAAGCCCGATGAATACATCGGCCGCCGTTCAGGAGCTGGCGACGAGCGGTACGAGCTACAGCTGATAGGCCGTCAGTTGCCCTTCCAACACAACTGGTATTTGTACATGACCGCCAACACATCCAGACGAGGTCAACACCAAGGTCTACGTCGAGTCCCAGGACGAGCACATCAACGTTCCTGTTGTTTCGAACGCGCCCATGACAATTGCTACGCTGATGAAAGTCATCCAGCACAAGCTCTTCGACACGGCCTACGGCTACTTTGCGCGTTTGTTTGGACCAGATCGCAGTGTACGATTATTTGGGACGATGGTGGCCGTCTTCCGACCACGACGAACCCCCGCTGCAATCCGCAGCCAAACGAGGATGTTAAGTACTACATCCACGCGCGCTACGAGAGCGACAAGGATGTACCAGCGGGAGCTTGGAAGGCCAACGGACCCACCAATTACAACCACATCAAGTTCATGGACATCGCCTTCGATTGGTGCTACATCGACAATGTCGAGGGCGACAGCGAGGACAAGGACTACAAGATCGAGGGCAAGGGCGCCCCCCCCCCCCGAAGGAAGCGCAAGATGGACCACAACGTTGAGGAGGGCGACGAGGACAACAAGCGCACGACGGGCAAGCGTGGCGACGATGACATTGCGCGGACAATTAGTTGGGCAAGGGCATGCTAGATCGTCGTGGCGTGAGGCGCCAGCGGTGCGCTCCCAAGCCCGTTGCGAGTACGCTTTCACAGAGTGCTCATGCCCCACACCGTCGCCGCATACTTTCGCATCCTCATGCTCGCGCGCCCGCGAGCAAAAACGTACGCTTCCTCCGCCTAACTCGTACCACCTTCCTGCGTTCCTGGCGCGCGCTGGTGCACCTTGCGCGGCCCGTGTCTCTGCTGGTTTTGGAGCAAGGCCCACACGGATGCAATCGCAGGACGACCGCGAGGACGCGGGGACCTCGCCGTGCGCACGATTTTTTCAAAACCGCTCACTTGCCAGTCCGCTAGTAGATCTCCCATCTGTACGTTTTGCTAATATCACTCTTGCTGTCGTTCCGAGCAGCTGGCTACGATTGCAGTCTGGCTGTTGGACGGAGTCGCGCAATTACATGATTGTGAATACGCATCCTTGAGAATAAGCGGTGTGCTTCTCCAACAACATGCCTGGCACCCCCACGGGGAGGACCACGCCACATTTGACACCGCTGCGTGTTCGCCAGCCATCGGCCACCTCAAGCACGCCATCGTCGCCAAGATCCACGGACCAAAGTGTACCTATAACGTGATCATATTCCAGACCAGTATACGTAGATAAAGGTGTGGTACATGAACTACGGAAGCCCGGAGCTATCATATGACATAAAGTTGCATTACCGGCCTACGTTGACAGGTGGGTCGAAGCACTTCGTAGACCTACTGGGTCCACATGGTACCGGTATGACAACACCACGGGTTTCCTTTCGCCGATTCATCCGTGCAGCAAGCGTGTGCTTATTGTGACTATAAGAAGGAGGCCGCAAAAATATGCGCATGGTGAGCGCACGTCCTGGAGTACTGGCCTACGCATTCGATTTTCCTCGCACGCAGTACTCGCATATCTGTTTTCGCTGTCTCGACATACATGCTGTGCCACAGCCCGCCGTTGCACAACACATCGCCCACCAGCGTTGCCGACGAGGAT